GGAGCCCACGGGTCCCCTCGCGTGGGCTCCGCGGGGAAGGGGAGGGGGGAACGCGGAAAGTGCGGGGGGGGGCGCGGAAAGTGCGCGGGAGCTGCGCGGAGCCGCGCGCCCTCCTCCCCCCCGCCTCCTTTCCTCCCTCCCCGGGAAGAGTTGCACAGCCTGTTTACTTTTTGCCTTTGATGTCGGGAGGATCTGGTTTTGATTAGATCAATACTCCTTTTTTTTTTTTTGATCAATCCTCCTTTTTTTTTTTTCCCTCCCCCCTCCCCTTTTATCCCCCCCCCTTACAGAGAGGAGGCTCCCAGGGTCCCCTGCTGACTCCCAGCCTCCATCCCAGCCTCCATCGCAGGCTCCCTGCATCCGCGCGCGCCGAGCGGAGGCTCCGCAGCCATGAGCAGCGCCGCGGTGCTCGCCCCGCTGCCCGACCCCGGCAGCAGCTTCAGGGAGGACGCGCCGCGGCCCCCGGTGCCGGGCGAGGAAGGGGAGACGCGGAGCCCGCAGCCCCCCAGCTCCCGCCCGCGCCAGAGCCGAAGCCTCCCGGCCGCTCCGCTGCCTCCGGCCCCGCGCAGGAACGAGAACGGGCTCGGGGAGCCCGAGGGCAGCGCGTCGCCGGACTCGCCGCTGGCCCGATGGACCAAATCCTTGCATTCCTTGTTGGGAGATCAAGATGGTGCCTATCTTTTCCGGACCTTCCTGGAAAGGGAGAAATGTGTGGATACCTTAGACTTCTGGTTTGCCTGCAATGGCTTCAGGCAGATGGACCTTAAGGATACCAAAACTTTAAGAGTAGCCAAAGCTATATACAAAAGGTACATTGAGAACAACAGCATTGTCTCCAAGCAGCTCAAGCCTGCGACCAAGACCTACATAAGGGATAGCATCAAGAAGCAGCAGATAGATTCTATAATGTTTGACCAGGCTCAGACTGAGATTCAGACTGTGATGGAGGAAAATGCTTACCAGATGTTTTTAACTTCTGATATATACCTCGAATATGTACGGAGTGGAGGGGAGAATCCTGCCTACATCAACAGCAACGGGCTGGGGACCTTAAAAGTTGTCTGTGGCTATCTCCCAACCTTGAACGAAGAAGAGGAGTGGAGCTGCGCGGACTTTAAGAACAAAATCTTGCCTTCAGTGGTTGGACTATCCAGCAAGACGTTGAGGGTTACAGCGAATGTCAGAGCCACGGAGACAATAGAGAACGGATACAGGTAAGCGATCCCGGGAAACTGCTTTGTTTTAACTTGGACTTTGGGACTGTCTTGGTGGAGTGGCGGGCTTTCGAACTAGGGACCTGGCAGCAGATGCAGGGAAGTCCTAACCTTATCTTGGTGTAGCTAGCATGGGCATCCCCGAGCGCTGAAACAAGGTGGTGTTTCAGGGTGCTGGTTGCTTGTTTCCCCCCTCTCTGTACAGAAGAAAGCAGAATCCTGTGCTCTTAAGCCCTATTGGCTCCTCGTGCATCAAAAACTTCATAGCAACTATGTCCTCCGGACATACGTTAATTATTGGTTCAACTTTCAAACGTATTAAGTGCAGTAGTGGAGTGGATCATACGGGCGTATGAATAACGTAACCTACCAGTTCACCAGCTTCACCAGCAACCAGCCCTTAAATAAGTTGGTTATGTGGGAAGCAATTGTGTGGTCACGGCACAGGAAATGTATGTGCATTGAACTACGCGATGTGCACAAAATCCACTTGTATTTTGGCTGTGTTTGGGTAGTGTGCACCCTTGCTCATCATGGTCTCTTTGGGTATCATGTCAAAGCCCTTTAGGGTGGCTTTGAGCCAATGTGTATACGGGAGTATGGCTAAAGTCAAGTATTGAAGGTAACAGAGGCATAAAGGGGATCTTTGGTGTCCTGGTGGCCATGTACGCAAAGTTAAACTTGCAAAACGTGGTTGGATGTCCAAAGGCAGGCTGAGTGAGCAGGGTTTGTGGCATGATAGCAGAGCTGGAGCTTGTGATAGGGTCTTGGCTGGGGGGTGTTCTGTGTCACCCTTGGGTCCCTTTTGTTGTAGGTGTTGATGGAAAGGTGGGATGAGGGCGAAGAAAGTCAGAGCCCTCTTGAATCGAAAGGGGGATGGGAAGGAGAGCCTGGTGAGCGAATGATGAGTTGTATAATCCTCTGAAAATGTATTCTTTCCTCTCCCCACCCTTGCCATAAGTGTGGATTGCTGGGCTGAGAGGAGAGGGCTTTGCTGGCTCTGCTGTCTGCTTGAGGAGGAGTTGGGTTTTGGGTATGGTGAGTGTTTGACGTCTCGTTTACAAGCATTTTGAGAGTGTGTCTGCTATTCCGGGACATCAAAGGGCAGCGGGCTGCTCTCCGCCTTGCACGGTGCCTCCGAGAAGGGTTTGCTGGAGCGCATCTCCGCTTCCCTGCCCTGCACTGAGCTCCAGGGCGTCCCGGGGCGGTGAGCACTGGGGTTGGGGATCCTCCTGCTGCTCCCATAAAAATGGGAGAGCTCCTCTTAACTGCGAGGCTGTTGCTGTGAGTGGGATGAGCTGGGTCCCTTCCGTCAGCGCCGGAGTGGGGGACAGGACAGGGCAAGGGGCCACCTTGGTCGCAGCCCATCTGTGGCCTCTGGTGCTCTCCCATTGGGGGAGTTGGCAGGACGGAGGCGCTAATTGGCAGCTGGTTTGTGGCGGACTTGGGTTTTGTGATCCTCATCGCGTGCATGAGTGTTGTTACCATCTCCGCATCTGCTCTTCTGCAGAACCTGCCTTGAACTGCTGCCCTTCGCCTGCTTTCCAGGAGGGGAATGCTGGATGCTTTTATCTTCTAGTCTTTGTTGGTGTTGGGTGCTGGCAGGGCTTGGCTGTAATGTTCTAGCAGTGCTTCAGGCCCTTCTGAAAACCCGCATGCTCCTGGTCCATGAGAGTTCTCAGAACTGAGGCTGCTGCCTGATTAGTGCTCCCTTTTCCTTGTTCTTTTTTCTCTTTTTTATTGTTTTTTTCTTTTGGTCTGGGGATTAACACAGTCTGTTCCTCGCATGTCAGATCTACCCTCCCAGGACATTAGGTGATGCGTTTTGCTTTGATCACCTTTCCTTGAATTTCCAGGAGCTTTTGCATTGAGATCTCTTGGCCCCATGGAGAGCAAAGAGAAGGAAGTCAAGTGGAGAGCTGCTTCCCAGCCTCTCCCTGAGCGATCCGTTTCTGAAAGCACTTGTGCATGCGTGTGCTCGGGGCTGCTGAGCGTGTGGATGGGTTATCTCTCATCGCTCAGCGTTTAGGATTGGGGCTGGAGCTTGACACCAAGTCTTTCCTGGTGAGTGGCCAAACCACACCTCTGTCCTAGGATGTGTGATGGAGGGTTTTTGCCTTTACTCAGTGCTTTCTGGTTTAGAAGCACCAGACAGGCTGCTTTACATTTGCTTCACTGGGTTCCAGTTTGATTATAAAAGCAGAAGTGGGAAGCACTGGGCCGAGTGCACCTGATCTGGGAAGCCAAGGAATCTCCAGCCAACCCAGTGTTTGGATGGGAGACCACCTGGAAATCCCAGGACATGGAGCCACGGCCAGAAACTTGGCAAACTGGAGACCACAGAAACCATATGAGTTGAAAGACTTTGTTTGGCCCCAGCACCAATAATGGACAGGAACAGTGAAATGAAAATACAGCGTTTGAGCTTGGCTGAAAAAAAAAAAGAAGAAAAAAAAGCATATGCATACAAATTGGTGGTTATATATTTGAAGTCCTAATGCAAGAAATATTTTGAATTTCAGCTTCTCCCTGGCCCTTCCAAGCTGCTCCCCTCTCCTCTGTGTTGTGGTGTGGTAAAACTGGCAGCCCCAAACTGCTGAGTGTATTGGACCTGGCCTCACTGTCCTGGAATCCCAACTATTATTTATATGTGGTTCTAAATTTATCATGCACCAGTTTGTGTACACAGAGGCGCGCTCCTTCCTTTGCAGTGCCGCCGCTGCATGGGGTTTTGTGCCGGCCAAGGTGGGCTCCTCTGCTTCCCAGCCAAGTTCTGTGTCGCAGCGGTGTCGGGACAGGCCCGGGTTGGAGAACCTGGGCTCCCAGGTGGCTCCTGCCGGCTCCGAGGGCTTCCCAGCCTTGAAAGAACCCCTTGACGGAGCGCGTTGTGTGTGAAGTTGTTGGAACCAAGTTTGGCTTCAATTATCAAAGTAAATGATGCCATTGTAAAGCTATGCTTGAAGCAGGGTTCTACAATTAGAGCGTGGAAGCTGTGATTAGCAGAGTTTTGTTAAAATATACTTTATTTTTCAGGTTTGTGCATGTGTTTTTCCTCCCTTTTTTTTTTTTTTGATCTTTAAGCCAGTGATTGCCCAGTGATGTTTGTCCCAAGAAAATATTTAATGAGATTCATTTTTTGCCTCAAAATGCTGCTTGCAGATTTTCTTTCCCCTTTGTATACATCTGTGGTTTGAACTGCCAGAGTGCTTTTATTTCTAAGAAGTGGAGTTTGACAATAATAATAAAAAAGCTCTGGCATTGCACTGCTGTAATAGGGGACACAAACAAGAGCCCCCTGAAATTTTCCTGGCATTGTAATACCTCTGATATGCCCATTGCCTAACATAGCATGTAGAGAGCTACATGCTGTGTGTCATCGCATCAAGATAAGAATAGTCTGAGAAACATCAGACATTCTCCTTGAAGCTCCAGAGCAACTGCTACCTGACAGCTGAAAACACTTTGCATATTGAGTTGGAAGCTTGTGTGTGTGTGCAGGAGCTGTGGCAGGAGACCACCTCTTTCCCCTGGAATTTAAAACCCTTGCAGGCAACTTGATGCATCTGGGTACAATTACTGGAGTAAGGTGGTCTTTTTTTTTTTTTAAAGAAAAAAAGCACATAGTGAAGCACCCCTATCAAATTTCTTAAAATAACTGGGGGCTTGGGGATGGCACTGTCTTGAGGGTGGTGGAGTTAGGGGGGTTATCTGTAAAAGATGTCAAATTTCTCCTCTTGGTCAGTGAAGCGTTGGTGAGTAAAGCCCGGCTGCAGCCCTGGATCTGCTGGGGCAGATGAGGGAGTCCTGGCCCCTTTCCCTAATGACGTAGGGGGAAAGGCTGGATCTGGACACACCTCTCCCTCCCCTGTCTAGGGACCTGCTGCCTCCACCCCTGCCTGCCCGGCAGTCCCTGCTGCTCCATAACCCTCCGGAGCAGCATTCCAGGTCCTCAGGAGCAGGGTGGCAGTGCTGGAGCATCCTGCCCCAAGAAGCATCCTGCCCTGAGTGGGACCTGCCCCAAGGAGGATCCTGCCCCGAGGGGGACCAATCTGCCTCTTGGTCCTGGGCTTTGGTCTCCAGACCGGAGGCACATTCAGATAACACATCTAAAAGAGCTTCATCCCTTCCCCAATCTGCCCCAAACCCATCTGAAACCAAAGAAGTGCCACTTGGACCTTGCATCCCTCATTAAGATTAGAAAGGCTGCATGTTTTGAGAGAAACTTTTTTCTTTTCTTTTCCCCCCCTAGCAGGATAACTCAGCTTTCACCCACATGTGGAATTAATTTATCTTCTAAAGATTTAACTTCTTTCCTGTGGCATTCCTTACTATCTTTTTTTTTTTTTTCTCGTTATTTTTTCAATCAATCTCTATTTTTAATGACTTAAGCTGGCTGGAGCGCCTGGGCCTGCTCGGAGATGGCCCGTGGTCCTGGCCGCACTGACGCTCCCCATGCGGCACTGGCTGCTCCGGTCTGGGCAGGGGGGTCCCATCTTGTCCCCCGGTGCTTTCCTCTCCTTTCCCTTTTTTTTATTTTTCCCTCTACTTTTGCATTTGCAAAAACGGGTGTTTTTTTTTTTTTTTTTTCTCTCCTGGCCAGCAATAGGGAACCATGTGCTGCAGTGGCGGAGCCGCTCACTTAAATCAAGTTGTCCCCTCCAATATGGACCTGTGGATTTGGGATGGCCATGGGGCAGAGCTGCTGGTGCATTCCCGACAATTCCCCAAGTTAGGAGGAGGTGAAAAGCAGTCCTAATTATTAAAAGCAGCAGTTCTTATGGGATGAGGAGGCCTCGTGCTTTGCTGGGCAGCCCGGCCTCCCCCCAGCAGCGAGGTGTGCGCCTTGGCACGCAGCTTCCAGCCTAATCCCCTCATCCCTCCCGGGATGTGTGTATTGGCTCCGGCTGCGGAGCCGCCGCGGGGGTGTCAGCACCGGCCCATGTGCTCTGAGTGCAGATTTGGGGATTGCCCATGGATTTTTCCTGCATTCTGTCTGTGGTTCTGGGCTTTTGGGTACTGGGGTCCTGGGTACAGAAGGCCACCACCTCCGATCCTCACAGTGCCACCCTTGTGCTGCCCCTGCCTTTGCCTCCTTTCCTTCTCCCTGTCCTAGCCTAAAAGCTAACAAACCCCAACCTAGGTGGCACAAGTGGCAAGCTTGCCTGAAAAAACAGGCCTTTTTATCTTGTGTTTTGGTAAAGCCCCCAAAATGGCACCTGCCGTTGGGGAGCCAGGCCTGGAAGAGCCGCTTGCGGCCCCCCCAGTGCTCGCTCTCACACTTGGTGGTCCCGCTCCAGTAGTTTCAGGCACTTCTCTAGTTTCAGGCAACACAGATACAGTAACTTTTTTTTTTTTTTTCCCAAGGGGGCCCTAACTCCTGTCTTTGGAGTAGGCTTAAGCATTTATTAGCTGGTGCCTTGATGGCTTTCAGTGGGGCTTGAGCTATGAACTTCTTCATCCAGTGCCTGCTGATATCAACACCAAAGCTCCCGCTGCCTCACTGGTGCTGCATCCAGCTTGAAGGACCAAGTATTCCACGGTATCCAAGCACCTGGAGGTGCTGCCTGGAATTTTCTGCGGTGTATTTCCAATGCCAAAATGTCTTTCAAGTTGGACCTAGGGAGCTTTTAGACAGAAGGTGGTCTGGTCACCACGAGCTGCTCTTGGGCTCCTGGCCCTTGGCAATGGGTGGTTGCTTTTGCAGGCAGCCCGTGGTTCCCTAAGGAAAATGCTGCCCTTAGACCCGCGTGCTTTTTCTCTAGCTCAAGGACAACTGATAACTCAGTTCCTGTTTCGCTTGTCCCTAGGTCCTTCAAGAGGAATGATCCTGTTAACCCCTACCATGTGAACTCTGGTTATGTCTTCGCCCCAGCGACTAGCGCAAACGATAGCGAAATCTCTAGCGATGCCCTGACCGACGATTCCATGTCGATGACGGACAGCAGTGTGTAAGTATCGCGTGTTGGCCGGCCGAGGCCCCTCAAAACGCACTGTCCAGGGGTCACCTGTGCTGCTGGCTGGCGGTGACTTGCTGGAGCGGTGGCTCCAATTGTCATTTCACATCTCCAGTGTCCACTGGTCTGTTGAACCCAAGGTCTTGGCCTGAACAGAGAGGTGCATTGTGGTCTTGGAGGACCTTGCTGCTCATGGGGATATGGGGTGGAATAAGGTGCTGCATCCCTCGATTGCCACCTTGCAGCTGAGCCAACGAGTTTTCCCCAGTGCTGATAGCGATGCCTGACTAACCCGAGGAGTTTATCTCCCTGCCTTTTGTCTTAAGGCCAGGCTTCCTTAGCCATTTATCAGTCATCAAAGAGGAGATTACTTCCTGTAGGAAGTGCTTTCTGTAATTAAGGTTCATCGTTAATGTCAGAGTGTACATTAATAGGGCTAGTGACCTGAAGGAGCAAATAGCTGCTCATCTCATGTGGCTGGGGCAGTCTTCAAAGGAGCGCTGGAGTGGCTGCGCGGAGCAGGTCGGAGCCTACGGATGGGGGTGGTTTTGTGGATGCACCCAGGGCTTGCAGGGACTGCGTTTTCCTCCCAGCTCTCCTGAAGAGTGTGCGACTTGGGATAAGCCATTTGGCCTGTCTTCCTCACTTGCCTCCAGCAGGAGAGAAGTAGTGCATTAATGTCTGAGCATTTAAGGGGTAGTTAGACCCACTTTGTCCTCTTAAGGACTTTCTTCAACCGGAGAGAAGGCAGATGTTTCCACTTCTGTGGCATGATCCTCACTGGAATATGAGTCCTCCAGACAAGCCAGCTTGTCTGTTAGGCAGCACAAGGTATCCAAGAGCGCAGTCTCACAAGTGGAACTTCTTCATAGTGATTCCTGTACACTCCCCAAAAGATTTGCATTCTGAATTTTTAGAGTCAACAGTGCTTCATAATGATGCATGATGGAAAACAGGATTAAAAAAAAATCCATGATGCATAAACAAAGCCTTTTTTTTTTTAATGCACATGTGTGTTTTGAACTGATATTACGGGAAAAAAAATAGTTTGTTGTCCAACCAGATTCCCTTATTGAACAATATTGGCATTAAATAAAAGAGCTGAATCATAGGGTGACTTCTTTATTTCTTCTTACTGGCTCTGGTTGTATGTGATCATGTGTCAACAGAGCATTCATTGGGTTAGTCATTTCTGGACCAGTGTAGGGTCACTTGGGATTCACAGGGCTAGGATTATACCCTCTCTTCACAGCAATGCCAATTGTAGGCCTTATACAGATGAGAGCACTGAGTGAGAAATAAAGTGCATGGTGGATGAAAGGCTTAACTGAATCGCTTTCAGCCTATTGTTAGTCTAGGGGAGCTTAGAGGGGATAAGAGGGTAGCAGGCCGCTTTGAAATTTGCTTGAACAAGTGAATAGGAGCTCCCCATAAAGCAGCGCATGAAAGGAGCCTGCCTGTTTTTTCCTGCCGGAACAATAGCCCGCGCAGGCTGTGAGAGTTTGGGGAAGCTTGGCTGATTAAACTGCTGGGAGCCGCGGGCCGGGGGGCGCGGGGGGCTCGCGGCGCCTTTGCATTTGGCAGCCCCGGAGGGTTCCCCGCTGCCGGGTCCCCCCACCGCGGCGCGCGGGGCTTCTCGGGAACCCGGCGCTTGGAGCAGCCCGGCCGCTCCGCTCCGCTCCACTCCGGGGTGTTTTGTGTTTTGAAAGTGGGAGAGGTGAATTGGCAGCTCTGGAGGGCTGAGCTGGAGCCGAGGCTGATGCAAAACTTCCTTTGCGGGAGCGGGGAGCGAGCGCCAAGATTGCAGGGGAGCGGTGGGGAGCAGCATCCTTCTTGGGAGCCTGGCTCTGCTGCTTCCCGAAGGGCCCAGAAACATTTTCGGGGTGCAGATCCTGCCTGCGGTCCTGGGCTGTGCCGGGGTGCGCTTCTGCCTGCAAGTTTTGCCACTCTTTTATTTATTTATTTTTTTTCCTTTCTTCTGTGCAAATGCAAATGAGTTCCTTTGGCTTAAACTGGTATCAACTGAAGAGGAAAAACTTGTTCTGGAAAGTCTGTCAGAGCAGTGAAGTCTTTTTTTTTTTTTTTAAATCTAAACTGTACTTGAATTATGAGAGGTCTCCAAATAATGCACAATCTGCGTTTTCTAAAAAATTGTAAGTGCTAGAATTCACTTGGTGTGTACGTATTCTGTAATCACCACAAAACATCATGCAAATTTATATTTCCATTTCTTGATTGGGGAGGGGGCAGGGGGAAAGAGGAAAGGGGATTTTTTTTTTATTTGCTTATATCTTATTTATGGATTTACTTTGGACACAGGGGAATGCTGCTGAGCAAACTTCAAATATTACCTTATCTTACAAACCAGGCTTTTGATGTTGGCAAGATCAGAGGCTTGTTTCAGAGCCGTTGCCAAATGAAGATGGGAGTGAATGCATATGCGCATGAGTCTGATATTTCAAAGCAGCAGTAAAACTACATTCAGGTTAGGTCAGGCACATCTGAGTCAAAAGGCTAAGATAATTGGCTCAGCTTAAATGGCAGCTGACTGGAGAGAAGACTTCAAACTCGTGTTTCCCCCAGAAACATATTGGCTTTGCACCAGCCTGGTTAGCTGAAATGTTTATAATTAAACTCTACTATTTAGTGCCTAAACTCTGTAGCTCTTCAGCCCGCAGCTCTTAGGAGCCAAGAAAGTGAGCGCAAATGTTCACCACAGGAGAGCAGGGAGAGGCCGGCCTGCAGCACCCTGCGTGCCGCCGCCAACGGCCTTCGCTGTTCTTTTGCACGGAAAAAGCCCAGATTTGGAGAGTGGGCAGCAAACTGGCTGCCAGATTCCCTCCTCAAGCTGCTCTATAACCTTCCTGTTCACAGGGAAGTGTCCTTTTTTTTGGACTTATTCTCCTTTTTGGTTTAATTCTGCAAACTTTGTTAGCAGCTGGAAAACTCTTAACTCTTCAGATCACCAAATTCTGTGTGTTTTGTGGGATAGGAGCGCTGGGCTGCATGGGCATGGCCACGGGGACGGTGGGCACATGCCTCGTGTGCTTCCCCAGCTGGGACATCCATAGCCCGGTTGATGCTTGGGACACAGCATTGGCTCAAGGACCTGTGGTGAGAGGTCAATGTCTATGGAGTGGCACTGAGTGCTTTTCCTATAGGTTTTTTTTTTTCAAAAAATATATTAAAAGTAGGTAGTTGTGGTCTTTCATATTGAGCTTTGCCACTCGGTTTGGTTTATTGAAGTAACTGCTCTTCTATGGTGGTTGAGAGCGAGGCCAAGGCCTCCATGAAGGCCTGAGGTGGCAGACCTAGAGCCAACCAGGGGAATGGACCCTTCCACCTCTGGAGATGGAGCAGACACCTCCCAGGAGTTATATTCCCGTGGGTTTTTTTCCAGCTGCATGTCCAAAAAGCAGGCCTACGTGTGTCCACGTGGCCATGGGCTGGACTGTGAAGGTACCCAGCTGGATGTTGCCTTCTCCGGGTGAGCAGGGCCTGCTCCTTCCAGTCAGCCTTTGCTGACGTCCTCCAGCTCCGGAAAGGATGGGAACTGTTCTCTCCACTCAGGAGATGACTAAGATGTGGGGGCAGATGGATAAAAGGGACTGGACTGGAGATCAAGGTCTTCCCAGAAGTCTGAGGGAAGGGGTGGAATTAGACATTCAGGATTTCCAGGCATGTTCATCTGGTTGTCCCCATGGTTTGTAGAAGGCCCTTTAATCCTAGCAAAGGTAATTTTTTTTGCCTGGCCGGATGAAAACAGGCAGCGTTGCCTCCAGCGAGTTGTGCCGAGTTCTTTTCCTCTCCCGTGCTCCCCACCTGGTTGGTTCTCATGACTTCCTTGCAAGGAGACGAGGTGGCCAAGGGGACAAACCGAGGACATGGCCTGGCTTTTCCCGCATCTTGCAGCCTCCAATTGCTGACTTGGGGCCAGAGACACATCTTGGATCTTGAGTCATGCTGGAGAGCATGGACAGCCTTGGTGGAGCCGTCCATCTCCAGCCTCTTCCTCCTTGTTTCTGTGTTGCTGGCATCCCTTGTGGTGTTTTAGAGCTAGGTGAAAGCTGTGGCTTCAAAGAGCTCAATTCAGGGGAGACAAGCACAAGTGGAGAGGGCAGGTGGAAAAACGTGGTGTTGGAAGGTGCTTTCTGCAAGAGGCTGCAAACATGGGGCTTGTGATATCTTCTGGGTGGCTTCCCATGGTGGTGTTACCTTCAGCTTGCTTTTCACCCTTTACTTGGGACAACCTTTACTTGGCCACTGCTCATCCCTTCATGTGGAGGGCCTGTAGTGTGCTCAGATTGCGGTAGAGGAGCTGCTCGATTAGCACTCGAGGTGATCGCGATCCACCTAATGATGTGGACGCTGCACTTTGCCCTCCCAAAGCCCGCGTGCCCTCCTGACGATGCCTCTTTTTCACCCCAGGGATGGGATCCCTCCGTACAGGCTCGGGAGCAAGAAGCAGCTCCAGAGGGAAATGCATCGGAGCGTTAAGGCCAACGGTCAAGTTTCTCTACCTCATTTTCCGGTAAGTGCCCGTGCTAGCTTGCTGCAGGCTCTGCGTTGGGTCATGTGCAAGGCCCTGAGCTGGGCCCTGGGGCAGCAAGAGGTGCCTGGGACGCACTGACCTGGGGCATGGGTGCAGGTGGGAAGAAGGGAAGGGCGGTGGTGGTGGTGGCCACCACACATTCGCCGTGCCTGGGAGCGCCTAGGTTGCACATGCCTCCTTGCAGAAACTATCTCACAGAGTCATGTTTGGTCATTCCCTGCGAGTTGGGTGCTAATTAGGGGTTTTCTGAGGCTCTGTCTTTGGCCTCCGGCTCCGCATTTGAGGCGGGGAAGCCCCAGTTGGCCGGGAGCCTGCGGTCCCCGGAGCTGGACACCACCTGGACGCTCTCCTGCGCCGTGCGCTGCAGGGCTTCCCGGCTGTGCCTTGCTCCAGGGCTCCACAGGCAACAGCTTGGAAGTTGGCAGGGAAGGTGGCCTCCCGAAAGAAGAATATTTGCAGGAAATCTTGTGCCTTCAAAACTTGGTGTGCCCTGCTCGAAGGGGACACAAGTCCTGGGACTGCCTTGTGCACTCGCTTGACCTGCGGATGCCCAAGTCCTACAGCGAATAAACTGTTTGCACAGACAAGTATAAACTTATCTTGTCTTGCGATTAATAAGCTAACCTCTTTCTGCTGTCTTAAGCAGCAAGAAATCACAGATAATATTTCTGGTAGCGGGGGCATGGGTTTGTGTGGTTTTTCTTTTTTTTTTTTCTTTTCACCCCCCTTCCTCCATAAAGAAAGTTCTATAGCCTGAGCTTGTAAATTAGATTATTTTGTCCCAGGGCGTGCAAATCGACTTTCTCTGTAAGGCAGTGCTTTGATCAGGGACTGAATAGAGCCAGCTTGTGTAAGAGTGACAATTTCCAGCAGAGTGGCCTTTTTCTACCCTCACATCATTTCTGGAGCTAAGTGGTTGCCGGAGAGAGGCCCCACCTCATCTGGTGGGTAGTATGTGAAAGAGTTGGCAGTTCAGTTTGCTGCTCTCAGAAAAAAAAAATAAAAAAGGGAGGGAGAGGGAAAGTAGGGGCGAGAGGAGCAGGGTGTGTTTGGGGGTGGCAGGAAGGAGGGGAGGATGCCGGTGGGTGGGTTCTGCTTTTTCCTTTTTTTTTCTTCCTTTTTTTCCCCTTTTCCCCCCCCATGTTTGCTGCTTTTGGCAGAAATTCTCGGTTTTGCCTTTTTATATTCTGCACTTGATTTGGAGATGTTCCCTTTTTCCCTTGATAGCTCTGCTCGAGGCAGCCAGGCTCAGCAGTGCACCACTGCTAGCCTGCAGCAGCTTTCTTCATTTTCTGTACAAAGAGATTGGGGAGGGGGGGGGAAGAGATCTAGGACACTGTTGAGACAACACTACCTCAAAGGTGCCCAGTGTGTAGCCAGGAAATAAATTACCAGCACTTCTCTGATCTGCAACCGTTTGACTCCTTCTTCTTTTTTTTTTTCTTCCCTTCCTTTCCCTTTTTCTCCCCCATCTTATTTTTTTTAATTTCCAACTCCTTTCTGTTTATACTCACTTTATTCCTTGAGTTAAAGTCTCTCTCTCTCCCTCCCACCTCAGAGGGTTTTTTTTTTTCCTTTTTCTTTTTTTTTTTTTTGATGTTTGACAACAGTCTTTGAAGATTTTCTACTTCAGAGTAGCTACTGATGGGCTGGTTGTACTACAGAGAGAACAAGCGGGGTTCCTCAGAGTGCGACCAACTGCTCCTGCCGAAGGCAAACGCTGGTGGGGAGGATGTCACTCCATGAGGCCGCGGCGCTAGCTCATAAAAATCCAGAGCAGACCATGCCTGGCCGCGGTTGGCTTTTCATCCAAACATGGAGACACAACAAGCGTAGCGAGGCCAGCAATGCCGCTCCGGCTCCGCGCCGGCGTCTCGCCCTGCCCGCTAAGCACGCCGTGTCCCTTTTGTCCCCGCTCTGTATAGAGAACCCACCGCCTCCCCAAGGAGATGACCCCAGTGGAGCCGGCCACCTTCGCTGCCGAACTCATTTCCCGACTGGAGAAGCTGAAACAGGAGCAAGAGACCATGGACAGCCTGGAGGAGAGGCTGCAGCAGATCAAGGAGGTAGGAGGCTTAACCCACGTGGCGTCGGGCCAGGGGTCCCGGGGTGGCCCAGAGCGGGGACCAGAGCGTCTCGCACGCATCTTCAGGGTGGCTCCCGCTTGCCACAAGACAGCGGGAACATTTGGTGGCCCTCGCGGAGGACCCGGGTGGGTAACCCACACTGGCGCTTCTCCCCCAGGACGAAGAGAAGGAGGGTGCGGAGGTGGCGGCCGGCATGCAGGCCGCCCGGGACGCGGCGTGCACCCC